GGGGATCGCCACCAGGGAGGCCCGTAGGGGCTAAATGGATCCACCTCCAAGTTTGGTCCAAGATTCTGCCTATTATTAATCCTTATGCTTTACATGTAACTGCATGGGCGCCGCCCTTTGATGTGGCCCAAATACTGCAAACACGTACCCTCCGCAGACTGCTGCTCTGCATCCTAACGTCCACAGATTGTCCAGAATAGCTTATTTTTTTAGTTTAGTTGTCCTGCAAAACCATCTACTGAAATCCGCCACTTCAAATTACTGTGGGGTGTATAAATGGCAGACAGGTGTAGGGAGCGTTGCACGGCAGGCCCCAGCCATTACCTCAATACCAACACCACCAATATATTCAATGACGTGAAAGGCCCCAAGTGAGAATGGTAGAGGCTGCTGTTTGTCACTTTGACGTAAGGCGAGGCAGGCCTCACCACTAAGCATCGAGGACGACTGGCTGACTGGCCGCTGACACTCGTAACGAGGGCCATCTAGGGTCAACGCTGCAGCACAACACCTTTTCCTGGAATAAATTTGAGACCTGGCAGATCCACCACCATGATCCGTTGAATCTGACTACTAGCCTGAGCCTTCAGAATTCCTTAGAGGGCATATTTGCTTTTCTTTGTTCACGTGCTCGCATCACAAGAGCTACAGCCGCCAGTAGGGTAGACAACAAAGTGTTTCACCTGAACAGAACAGTTCATACATGTTTGAGTGGGTCACTTCTATTTGGCTAGTAGAAGTGCTAATGCCACCTAAGAGGGTCGTTTGTGTTTTTGTGAGCACCTCCCGGATCTTTTGGTCACATCTGAACTCCGAAGTTCAGAGGTGTAGGGCCTGGTTAATATTGCGGCTGGAAGACTCCATTAAAATTTTCCTGTTGTCAAGGGCCATCTACCGGTGCATTAGACGCAATATGGACCTACAGCAGCTGTGTCTTGACTTAAACGAGGCCATGTATCCTGGTGTTTTGGTTTGCAGGGAGGCAAATCCCCTCAGTGTACCAGCTGCGTGTGTGGTTTCCATGATGATAAAAAATGGCTCTCATCACCTATAGACACTTCGAAGCTGTCATCAACTAGGATACGAATCATCAGCCATGCCACAAAAAGCTGCATGTGCTTCGCCAGTTGCTGTCTATGCGCTGCACCGCTACACCGCCACGTGCCAGTAATTGCCCACCTGGCAACATGAGGACGCGATGGCTCTTGTCAACGCGCCACAAGGCTGCACGACGGGTCTGCATGCCACGCCCATTCTCTAAAGAAGAATTTGCACTACAAAAATGGTGTTTGGTGCTAATCTGGCACATAGGCTACTTTGCAATGTAGTAATATGCTTTGCAGTTCATACAAAAATGCTTCTCTTTTCTTGAACGTCGTCGATGGATGGAATCGCAAGAACTAGTATCAATTGAGGCTAGCGTTACCCTGATTGCCAACAACCTCACATGGAAGGCTATCGACCAAGCACAATATTCTTCACGCACCCTATATTTCAGGACGTGCGCAGTCCCGGTGTCGCGGCCGATGCTGTTCACTTTGTCACACCGTGGTACATGCAGTAAATGATCAGAATGCAACGGTACTTTTTCTCTTAACGTTAGCCCGAGTAGAACGGAAGAAAAGCTCATAGCGCGTAGCATTACAGCGAAAGCAGAAGCAGTATTCAAAAGGTTTTGTGAAATCTATGCTTTCATCCTTTTTGGGAGCGGTGCTCCATTTTTGGAAAAAGCGTCTGAATAAGACAGTATTGGTACTATGGATTGTGCACTCCTAGAAGTCCACCTTTTGGGTCTTTTTGCGTTACACTAGTGACTGCAGCAGAAAGGTCCTCGTGAAGACAACGGCATTCCCATTGTACTCGAAATAAGAAACGAGTAAACAAACGAGAAGAGTAATTGGACCTGTCTTCAAGAATGCAGCAAGGCGGTAAGGACAGCCACCCGCGCAGTGTGTGTCTGCAGAAATTACATGTTGCCCCGTCATGAGCTTCTTCAGCCCTTCTAATCAGCACATCGTGTAACCAACACGTTTAGTGAAATGGTCAGTCAGCAAAACCTGCAAAAAATACAGTTGCCTCCATGATAATGATTAATCAGTATTTAGGCATCGTTTTAAATAGCAGGTAGTACCAAAGATATTTTAAATATATGTAGGAACTTTCATGGTCTAATGTGGAGGATTTACCTTGTATTTTCTGCGCATATGTACTGTTGTCCTTTGTATGCATGTTGATCTGCATTAATTTGATGTGATGGGCTAAGCTACACTTACGCACTTCGTATTTCAATATATATATCTAATTGGTCAGTTCTTTACCAAATCTGAGTGAGTGTGTTCATATATCTCATTTGTTAAAAAGTAGCGCTAGTTCGGACACATCAGGACGCAATGCAGTGTGCGTGTGCGCTTGATATCATGTGCATCTTGCTGTGAATGCTCGGGTTGCAGTGAGAGTGCAGCTACACGCACGCTAGTTGTCTCGTTTTCCTTTGATCGGCACGCCGCGGGGCGCGGCAAGGGGAAGGAGGGAGCTATTTTTTTGTAAACTGTACGGCTTTATTAAACTTGTATTGAGCAAATTGTTCTGTGTCTCCCCACCAGGTCCTTGGATGGAAAGTTACAGTCTGCGTCAAGCCGTTAGAACTATAGTCCTCACATGGAATTTTTTCCGTAGTGTGCTACTGATGAAGCGAACTTGCGATTAACGCGAGTGTCGGGTTGATCTGAGGCGCTTCAAGTTGTTCGATTCTGCTGCGTATGGCTTGCCATGCTGAAGTGGAAAACTTTATGTTAGCCCGTAGAGGTAGCTGCTGTTCAGGAAAGAGCAGTGCATTCGGGAGGAGGCTTGCACTGAGATGCATTCGCGATTTGGCGATGTTCATACCGGGCTAAGCTATTCTCGTTACCGCACTTTTTTGCTTCTGTCTTCACTTTAAGTGGCCTCATAAGTGCTCCCTAAATTCTTGTTGGTGCTTAAATCTCATCAGATCCTCAAAATGCACACAAAGGCTAGCGAAAATATCTTAGTTCCTGTTCTTGTGTTGCGTAATCTCCACCAGCACGTATTCTTTGTGATGCAAAAGCGAGACTAATTGCCAGCCAAATGCCACTTGACTCCTTTCAATTTGGTTGGAGCAGCCAGTGGTGGGAGTCATGATTGCAGCTGTCTCCCAAACGCTCTTTGACGTTCGGTTTGCACTTCTTAAAATATAAGCAAAAAGGTCGTTCTCACTCAAGGGGGCCTCTGCGCAGGCCCATACCTCAGTACTAACTGGGCCGTGCACCGCCTAACTTCAGAATTTAGATGAGATCTGGTCCGTTCTACGCAGTGTGAACGCCGGCACTCCTGAGGGGTCTTGTTCGCAGTATGGCTGACTGAGCTGCTCATCAATAGGCCCGCAAAGAATGTGGCCATCCAACAGGTCTACAATTGCTTTCCCGGTTTCTAATATGATGGGTTAAGTCTTCAATTAATTACGTTACTGTAGCTTAGATAGTGGATCTGCTTGAAGGTCAGGAGAGGCTTGCATTGATGCACCTCCGCTGCACCCTGTAACGCTCCCTCTGAGGTACCCGTAGGGAGATATTTTACGCTCAACGAAATGCAGGCTTTCTAATAAAGTACTGAGTCTATTTTAACGGGGCTTCCTGCCACCCTTGCGCCCGTCCCTCAGAGTTCTACACGTGGAGAGAAAAGCCGCTAGGTGAAGTAGCTGTACCACATATGCACTCAGAGCATTCATGGCTATTTACATACAACACCTACTGCCCGAATACACAACGTTGTGCCATTTCGTATCGATCTTTCAGTACTTTGCAATGAATTAGTTACAGGTAAGCCAGTTAGTCGGGTTTTTGGTGATTCTCAGTTGCATAGAATCAGTCTGATAGGGAGTGTTTTAGGGTAGCTCTGCGCCCGCTAGAGTTCCCACATCAGGGAGGAGGGACAGCTAGGGTGCGCGGTGCTGAATTCTCGAAGTTTTCGGAGCAGTCACTGCTGATTGCACTAAGGATGCAGCGGATATGCCACATTGCTTGCAGTGTAGGGAGTGCTTAAGTGCAGCCTATATCTCTGAAAGCATAATGTAAAGTTTCGTTTGGGGCCTCCATCAAGAGACCAGCAGCCATCAAACGTCAAAATGTATGTCACAGCTTCACATGCACACGACTCCTTGATACATATGCATGAATGCACTGTAGCTGGATACGCCTTCTGCGTTCTTAGTAATGGTCACAGCAAAATGCGTCCGGCGCCTTTCAATAAACTGACCTACGGCCGATTAGCTGAAATGCGGCTCGGGCGGTTGGGTCAGGGGCGTCTAGCTCAAATGGTAGAGCGCTCGCTTAGCATGCGAGAGGTAGAGGGATCGATACCCTCGTCGTCCATAGGTACCGCGGTGTTTTGAAGCGTGCACGAGGCTACAAAGTTTTGGTATCTATGTTTTGCGTCGCATAACACTCAAGAAATTACCTTCACGCAAGCTCTTGAGCTGCACAGACACAGGAACGGATAGACACAAAAAATGCATGCACACAAAAACCAACAAGGCCGACACCCTTGGGGCTGTAAGCGTTCATCCCATGCATGTGCACAACAAAACCCCACCGATCCAGGAAAGATCTTATTATTCGGCACCTAGGAGCCCTTCATTTTAGAGTGTAACTCCTCGCTACTCGACCACCATTCTTCTCTTCGGAGTCGCCGTCACTCTTTGGGGTTACTGTTCCTGCTGCGTATTGGAGCAGCTGGTGGTGTAAGCGGGTGCACTATCCTGTTTTTAAGAACAGGAGTACAGAAGATGGCGCTTGCTGCTGCTTCACGGGCCTTCTACGGTACCTGTGGTGGGAGTATCTTCAAGTAAGTTCTATCCCTGTCGCTATTGTTTCCATTCGTTTTCCCTGGTCGCCTTGTTGGGTTAAAAGTACTTACATGGCCGCAATACAGCAGTTTGTAAAGCTTGGTACTGTAGGTGATTGGGTTGGAGGCCCTGAAGTGACATGCAGGGTGTACCACACTTCGAACATGTTCAAAGTGCCACTGCCCCAGATATGCGTTTTACTCAACCGCAGGCCGTTGGTGGACCTTAGAGTCGCTGGCTTGCGCTTCGGCCTCCAGGTGCTTTCAGATTTCCACTGACTGCTGCTGTTTATCTCTGAAAATTTTCCAGCTGCTGCTCAACCTCAACTGGTGTTTCTTCCTACTTGTCTGCGCATCTCCTTCGTATTCTTCGTCATTCGGGCCTGCTCAGCACTCTGTCCTCACTTAGGCCTCCACTTATGTAGTCTCAACTCTGGTGCTGTTCCCAAACACAGCGTCCCTTTCGGCTCCCGGATCAGACCGGAATACTGTTTTATCTTCCGCTGCACCGGTCTAGGTTTCTTTGTCTCTAATTCATGCGCCTTTTCTTGCGCCATACGTAGGCCTCGTCGTTTTCCTTCCTTCCCCCTCGCGCTGTGGCTGGTGCTGCTTTCAGCAGCGTCGCTAGGAGCCATCGCGGAACCTCCAATGTCTCTCAACCCCCAGTTACAACATTAGCTTCCCCCGTGAAGCGCACAACACCGGGACCGTTACCCTCGCCAATGGCTGTGGAGTTCCTTGCACCCCAGAAGATGCTCAGTTTTGCAGTTCAATACCTCCTCTCCTTTCGGTTTTACTTCATGTTCATGGCCCGTACTACTTTCCAGGTGTTAATACATCGCAGATGGATTAGCACACTCCGACAGCTAGCAGCTTTCAACGCACACCGTGCTTCGCTGAGCTACTTTCTTAGGCAGACACGGGGCGGTCTGCACTGTCCAGTGTACGGTTCGTTTCTGTGTGTGCGAGTGTTTGTCTCGAGGGTGTGCGTCCCCTATTGGCCTTCAGCGTCTTTGGAGAAGTGATGAAGATGGTACTGGCGACCATGAGCTCTGGACTGTTCTCCTTCCTCTTCTCGTTTGTCCTTGCCTTTGAGGTCCTGTACTTCTTCCTGCAGTGCTACATCAGCTACACTTTCCTCACAATGTTTTTCACAGTCATGTTCTAATCTGGGAACTGAAGAGTGGGCAAAACGCTTAAATGAGTCTCCCAGTGGGAGCCAGTCAAGCCGTTTCAGCAGTACGCCTTGAGGAGCCAAAGGAGGAACCCGGGGGTCGTATTCAGAGGACCTCGGGGATGCACGGCGTGAAGAGGGCCTTAAGAGCGATATCTGGGGGGGAGGGGGGCACAAAGGTGCTAAGGTGGCACAGCGCATGTGTGTCTTTTGCTCCATTTCTTGTCCATTCATTGGTCTACATTGCGACACCACAGCAGCCGAAGCGCCAATAGCTGTCGTAGCTCCCTCACAACCCTTGCTATTTACGGCCGCTGGGCCCATAAAGGCTGCTTTTTAGGCCGGGGGGAGGGGTCGGGGGATGATTAGGGAAGGCCTTTTGCGTTTTCCCTCTTCATCGTGGCTCCGCAAGTGCCAAAAGAGCACTGCCGGTGACAGTTTGAACGCGGCATGGCCAGCTCATGTTTGAATGCCCTGCCAAAAAGAAAAGTAATAAGAGTCGTCTCGGCGTGCAGCAGGGGGATCCTTAGGAAGAGGGATTTGCAACAGAGTACTTTTTCCTTCGTCTCCACCCATGGTGAAATGCTTCTGTATCTACGTAGTGAAGTTGAGGCGTAGGCGTTTCAAAGATGCAGTCCATGAGCTGGACCACTTCTTCAGAAAGCGTTATTGCCAGAGTTAGTTCTACCTGTAAACTGCCTGTTTGCGGTGGCGAATCCGCAGGGATCCTTCGCAACCGTGGGCCGCTCATGGGCTGTGGGAATCCCTGCTTTGTAGTAGGTTGGCAGCAACCTCAGCTATTTCGCTGCAGTTGCTGCTGCCTCAGATGGTACTAGCGACCCATCGCAACAGGGAATGCACGGGTTAGGCACTGCCACAGTTGCTGCCGCGCTTGCGGGTTGCTGACTGCTGTTGAGCCGCTCGAGGCTGCGATGCAGCGTTTGGCACGTAATGCTTCGAAGCAGGCAGCCAGGGGGGAATACTTCGGTGCCGCACAGGGGAATGCGAAAGCTGGTCTTGTGTTGTTTACACCATGGAAGAGGCAACCCTGCAGGTACCAGTTGGTATCGCTACCGCGAAGAGTTCGTCTCGTGCTACCCAGCGAGAATCAGCAGGGTAGAGGATCCCCACCTTCAGGCGGAGGAACAGCGGCGACCACCCCGGACTACCGTTGCTGCTGTTTTAACTATCACAGTTGCATGTTAGAGCACCCGACTGTACTGTTCCTATGCAGCACCAGCAGGCAAACGATTGTAGGGCCTATTTAGACTTATTCAGATAGGGGACATATGTCCTGATCATCTCTCTCTTCCGTACCAGCAGATGACTGAGGCAACAGGTCTTCCGCACCAGGAAAACAGTGAAGCAGCAGCAAGTTCCCACCAACAAGAAAAGCTTCCAAGCTACTGGGAGCATAGAAGAAGCAAAGCAACACGAAAGATCCCCACTGCAACAAACGCATCAGGGCTACCTAAGGCAGGACCCCAGAAGACCTCGGGGGCCGGTTGCTTGAGAGAGGCTCTGTTGAAATTTGATGGTAGCGGTCCAGTAGGAGCTCCCTGTTTGCAATTTGAACTAGGAAGCGCTCGTGAGAAGGGCACGGCCTAGTTCCAGCACCTCCTAAGACCTACGTATCCCCTCAGAAAATCCAAATGCACCGCCTTTCAGGGGTTCATCTGGTGTCTGAGGGACCCTTGATTCCATCTATGTATCTCCCTGGTTGTAGGAAGGGGTGTGCGAGGAGCTGTTCAGCGCTCCACCTCTGACAAGGGTCTATTTGGAGCATTTTAGCAATGAAGTCAACGAAGACTGAGTCGTTGCAGCGGAGGCGTTGCCGGAGGTTTGTGCGCTTAGGGATGAAGAAACGGATTATGCGGTTGGCGCTGGCTGAAGCGCTGCTGCTCGTGCTTCTGCCTCTGCTGTCGGGGAGTTTTGCGGGTCGTTGTCGCTGCTTCATATAGTCCTGGAGAACGTTGAAAAGAGTGTCTTCTGAGGATCGCAGGGCCATGTTGACGGAGGGTTCATGGAATCCAATCGCGTGCTGGTGCTGCTGTTGCTCTTGGGTTTCTGCAATGCTATCCCTAAACTGGTACAAGTACCCCTCGACGTCAATCAGCTGATGCTTGAGAGGGCTGTTCCTTGCCATGTAGTTCGGAATAGGCCCTACAATTCCCACCATCTTCGCTAAAAGAGAGGGCACAGAGTGGCAACCCAGCAACATATCACCCGTCCACAGTTCGTAAACGATGCAGCCCAAACTCCAGATATCAATCTTCTGACAATACGGCAGCTCCAGCAGCACCTCCGGTGCCCTGTAGCAACGCGATTGCGTATACACCACCAGCTCGTCACTGGTGAAGCAACAATTTCCAAAGTCTATGACCTTCACTCTGAATAAGTCCAGAGCCTGTGGATCAAACCCTGCGGCCGGCCCCACCGCGGATCCATCCAGCTTTTTACTTGCATCCCCGTTGTCGCTGACGCGATGGCTGCTCGAGCACTGCTCTGCTTGCTGTCTGAGCGCGAGTCTGTCTTGTTCCTGTCTGTGTCTCTGAAACTCGGCGAGAGGCTTGGTGAAACACGCGAGGATGTTCTCCGGCTTGAGGTCTCCATGAATGATCTGAAGTGCGTGGATGAACTTTAGGGCGAGGAGCACATCCCTGATAGCCACTTGGATGCGTCCAAGAGTCCAAAAGGAAGGCTCCCTATGCCTCTTTAGGGCTGTGGAGAATGTGTATAGGTCCTCGTCTAGGAGCTCGGTTACCAACACCACATGGCCGCGGAAGTACAGACAGTCGAGCAGACGCAAAAAGCGGAAGGCATCTGGATCGCCGTTCTCTCGCAACAAACGCAGCACTGCAACCTCATCTAGAGACTGATCCAAGTACTCCTTCTCGTTCTTCATCACCTGCATTTTCGTCGCAAGAGCAGAGCATGCTGGTGCTTTGGGCAGCACACCACAAGTAGCGCATGCTGCTGATGCTTTGGGCAGCACACCACATGTGGCGCCTGCGGCTGATTCAGCAGCAACGCGGCAGAGGCAGGAAGAGGGAGGAACGGATCTGCTCCATAAGCACCTACATAACTCGACCCCCTAACCCAACTACAGCAGCTGACCTTGAGACAGACGCGCTCCCCCGTGCATACATCGATGCCTTGCAGACAGCGGGAAAACGCTGCAGCCCCCACCTACAAAGAAGCGCACGCAATCCGAACTAAAACACCACGATATGACCAGATGCACGGCATCCTCCCGTCACAAGAGCAACACCAGTCCGAGCAGCAGAGGCGGCAGCAGCGGCACGCGAAAACACCTCATGTTGAATCCTGTATCGGCCTCCAAGGAGGGCTCCTGATGGCAGCACGAGCTCTCTGTGGGCGTCGCATCCAGTCGTGTTTCTTTTAAAGACGACTTTCAGATTGAAGCAGTCATACACTGCGGAATCGTCGAGCGGGGTCGTCAAGTCGGCAGGGGAGGCCCCACTCTCCTGGGAGCGTCCATGGAACCGACACCGCCTTGGGTAGTCTGGATCTGGAGAGGGGGGGTATGCAGCTAGAGACAAAGCCGCCGCAGCACGAGCTTGTTGAAGCCTCCTGAAGCGCCGTCTGTCGCCTTCGCAGTACGCCTCTTCCCACGTTCTCGCTGCTATGTAGGCCAGCTGCTGCTGCAGCTGCAGCTGTTGCTGTTGTCGCTGCTGCTGCTCCAGCAGGTTTGCGGCATCGGAGGCAGACACCACTTGCTCCTGCATTCCGCAGTCAGCCAATTCGTCCTCGGATGACACGACGCGACTATGCCGTGCTGCTGCAGGTACTGCTGAGGGCTGTCTGCCGTTTCCGAGGCAAGCGCTGCTCAGTTCACGTGTAGAGACACCCGGGGCGCCACTGAACACGCGCTTTTGCAGCGGTTGGTGCTCCTGCTGCTGCTGCTGCTGCAGCTGTTCTTGCCGCCTTTGCTGTAGCAGCAGCACCTCCTCCTCCCGCCGGCCTTCTCTGTGCTCCTGCTGTTTCGCTGCTGGAGACTCCGCGGAGAAGCCTTCAAACGCCCCAACTCCTCCAAACGATGGCGGCGCTCTTTCGGTGACACCGCCGCCAAACGCCGGCGACGAGGGGCGGCTGTTCCCCTTGCTCGTCGTGCTTCCGCTGCCTCTGCTCCTGCTGCTGGAGCTCCTTTCTTCGCGCACGCCAAAGATATCCTGGCTGCTCTCTGCAGCAGCAGCAGCGGAGCCGCGGGAAGGGTGACTCCCGGAAGTCTGCACAGCCGCTGCCGTCGGCAAAGCCTGCTCTTGCTGCTGCCGCCGCTCAGCAGCAGCCGCAGCAGCAGCCATCTCGAGTCTGGCAGCTCTCACGTCAACAGCAGGCTCAACCCCCATCGTGACAAGGGGATGCATGCCAGAGGGGCCTCCCGTTGCCTCCTCCATCAACGAACCGCAGAAGGCTACCAGGAATTCATTTTGAGTGAGCTCCAACGCCGTGTAGCCAACATCGGTATCTTCCGTGTATTCATCCGTTTCGTCGAATTCTGGAATGTAAGCTCCTTCTAGCCAGGCTTGGTATTGGGGGCTGCTTGGGACTGTTGCTCCTGCAGCAGTTGCTGCTGCTGCTGCCGCTGCTGCAGTTGTTGCTGCTGCCGCCGCTGCTGCGCCGAAAGGCGTGCGGCAGCGGATGTCGCCTCTGTACTTGGGGATGAAGCGGGGGGAGCAGGCAGCTGTACCCTGCCCGCAAAGCCTCACGGCTTGCGCTGCTCTCAGAGTGCCTCCCTCCATGGAGAGCAGCCGGGGAGTTGCCAAGGCTTCTTGCACTGCTGCTTCTGCCTCCTGCCGCAACAGCCGCAGCGTCGAGGGGGCGCCTTCACTGGCAGCCTCAGCAGCAGCGCCGCCCTCTGCAGGGTAGATCGGCGAACTCACGCCTTCGGGAGACAAGGAAGGAGGCAGCGGACTGATGCACGTCTCCACGTAGGTCCTCCTACTTCTAGCAGCAGACAGAGTCTCTCTGAGCCTCTCCGTCTCCGAAGACACTCCCTCTATAGCAAGCAGAGACCTTAAAAGACTTTTATGATCCGGAAACCCCATTGGTTCCGTGGCTCCCAGCATCCCCTCAACTACTGAGCGTACAGCCGGACGCAGAGCAGCTCCAGCAGCTACTGCTGCGTCATCGTCGCTCTTGCACTTACTGCTGCTGCTGCTGCTGCTGCTGTTACCAGTGCTGGAGCTGCTGCTTTTCGCGCCGCTGATGGTGAGACTGCTGCTCGCAGTGCTGCTGGGAGCCTGGGCTGAGTCGCATATGCCCTTCAAGTCACACAGCAGCGCACGCAGCGCAGGAAGAAGTTGCTGCTGCTGGTGTGCCTGCTGACGAAGTGCGTTGCTGCTTCCCTGACCAGAAGCATCATCAACGGCCCCCCCGACCGAAAGAACAACCGTTCCCGAGCGCTCATGCCGATGCTGTTGTTGCTGCTGCTGCAGGTGCTCGACGAGACGCAGAAAGTCGCCAATGCGTCTCAGCGATGCTGCTTCAACCGTCGTGCTGCTATGAGCAGCAAGAAGGGCTGCCGTTTCCGATACACCCGCGCCTCCTCGCTCTGCACCGTGGACCTCATGCGGCCTGAGGGGGCAGGGTGAGTTCGACTCGTTCATCCTTTTTCCCGAGTGCTATGGACTGAGCAGTGTCTTGCTTCTGCACACTCAAGTGTGCTCTTGCTGCTGGTTGTTCCGTTGTAGCAGCTGATGCTTGCCAATGTGGACTACTAAGACCACGCGTTGCGTGCTCCTTTATGTGCAGCGAACGCTGCCACGGCGTGAGTTTTGACTCTCAACTGCAAGGGGTGCATCCTCTGCCTTCCCTCCGCTGCTTTGTTTCTTCCCGTGCTCCCGAGGTGATAGCCGGTGCAACGTTGCAGTTGCTGCCTTGCGAAAACTGCTGCGTCTCCCGCCTATTGGATTTCTAGCGTACAGAGCAGGCCGGTGGAAACGGCTGCTGGTGATGCGCCCGAGGCAGCGCTCTGTGTGGGTCCCCTGCGTCTGCAGAGGTCGCAGGGGTTCCGGTATTACTGACCTTGTCTTTTCTAATCTTGGAGTCTTAGGCTGCCGCACACATGCTGTAGAGCAGGTTCGTTCCGCGATTTCCAAGGAGGAGGAGCTTGTCGCGTCGGCAGCGGCGGAACTGCGGCTTGCTTCCGGCAAAAGCCGCGGCGACCGTTATTGCTGCGCCAGAGGAGCCTCTGACAAATGGCAAAAATCAGAAAGGGATAATAAGGCGTCTTTGGCGGTGTGTTGCCGCCGTGGCTGCCTCGCTGTCTTGCTGGGAGGCAGCACGAGAAAGCGTCTGCATCAGCAGCAGCAGCAGCAGTTGCTGCTTGTTGCATGCACGCGCCGGAAGACCCTGCCGCACCCAAAGCGGGAAAAATGCGAATTGTTGCACGGAAGGTCCGTCTTTCCACAATCCCGGATTTCTTTAGGCGCAATTTCCCCCCGTTTCTGGCCCCCTGCCGCAGCATCCCCTGCAGTGTCTGTTTCACGGAGCAGGCCGATTCCCGTGCGTGGCGGCGTTGCCTGCGGCTCGAGGCGAGCGCTGCTAGGGGCTTTTGGGAGCTCCTGCTGCGCGTCTCATGAGCCGAAGACACACAGCAGGAACGCGCGGGTAATACCGGCAGCAACGGGAGAGATTCGGCTTGATGCTGCGCAGCCTTGCTGCGGCTGCTGCAGCCTGGGGGTCAGGCTCTGCTCAGCAGTGCCGCCTTTGCCAGCCGCACCAGCAAGCAGCAAGCGCGCGCATCCTGGAGAGAACGCGACAAGCCCGTGTGGAGGCGACCCCTGCGACCTCACCTGCTGCAACGGCGGCTGTGCTCCGTGAGCCTCGCATGGCTTACGAAGCACTTGCCTTCAGCCGCCCTCTCAAGGTCCAATGTGGAGAAAATCTCGATCGGGGGCATGTGCACTGCATCCGCTGCTGCGGTGGCTGCGGCTGTAGCCGCAGAGAGGCTCCTCTACGAGCGGCTCGACGAACAATCAGCACTCTCTTCAGCCAGGTGTGAGGTGACCTCTGTTCCCCCTCTCCCTGCTTTGCTGCCGCATGCTGTCTTGTCTTGCTGGCTGCTGCTCGCAAGCCCCTGCTTTGAGTGCTGGTGCTGCTGCTGGTGCTGCAGAGCTCCCTGGCTGTAAGTGCCAACGGCGTAACAGCCGACGCGATCTCTCTCCAAGACATGCAGCAGTAAGCCAGAGGCCTACAGACCGTCGTGAGGCTTTTTAGTCTCTCTCTCTCTCTCTATCGCGCGCTGCTTTTAACGGTCTTCCCACTTCCTTCGCTGTCTGCTCTCGTGAGGAGTGCAATGCGAACCACACACCGCCTCGTGCGTTGGCGCATGCCGCTGCTGCAGGCTCCTCGCTGGTCAAATTTTAGAGGCCTTAGAGTACTATGGAATCTCCCCAAGGCGACAGCAGGAGCAGGAGCTCCTCAGCGAGGAGCCGCGTATTGGTTTGCTGCTGCCTGTTTCCCCGATTTCCATTGCCGCGCTTGCTGCTGTTGCTGCGATTGGGGGCGTCGCCGTGCCTCTGCCCTTCCCGGATGCAGCTGTTGCTGCAGAGACGGCAGCAGCAGCGGCTGCTGCTGCAGGTGGAGTGGCGGCAGCGGGGGGAGCAGTCGCAAGGCCCCTTGCCGCAGCTCGAGAAGAAGCAGGGGGAGAGGTCTTCATCACCAGAGCCAACGCTTTCAACAGCAGTCTTCTTGCCACCAGCAAGTCCTTGCGGCTGCTGCAGCAGCAGCTAGCCGAGACAAGGGTGCAGTTGCTGCTCGTGCACCCTGCTCTCGCTGCAGCTGCGCAGTATTTGTGTCACCAGTTAGGCATGCATGCATGCATCTGCAGCGCGAAAGCTCTCACCGCAACGGATGCGTGTTTCTCGCAGCAGCAGCGGGCAGCATCAGCACCAGCTCGGCTGTTCGTGATGCGAGGGCCCCTTTATACGCGAAGTCTCGCGGTTCGCACCAAATGGCTGCCCATTCGCAGCCTCAGGGGAGAATCGACGGAAAATCTGCGAGAGCTGAGAGAGGCGCTTGCTGCTGGAGGCGTTGGCAACAGCGAGAGCAGCAGTGTTAGCAGCAGTGTGAGCAGCAGCGCGAGCGGCAGGGTTAGCGAAAACTCCTACGCCTTGTTGCTAGATGCGAGCCGCTGCTGGGGCATGCCACGGACTGTGATTTTGTCTGCATCAGCATTGCGGCAGCAGCTCCAGCGCAATGCGGAGCAGCTCTTCTCAAAATTACGGCCGGGAGATGCTGCTGTTGTAGCCGCTGCTCCGGAAGCCGTTGTAAAGTCGAAGCTGCTGTTAGCAGTGGTGTTGCCGCTGTTGCGGCGGCGAGCCAGTGTGCTCCTGCTCACCAGGCAGCAGCGAGAGGCGATGCCGCTGCCGCTGCGAGTTGCGCTGCAGCAGCAGCCGGCTGACGCAGCGGCTAAGGCCCTTGCTGCTGAGTTACCAGAAGCGCGGGCTGGTGCAGTGTGGAAGCTGCTGCTGCAGCAGTACAAGCAGGAGCAGCAACAGCAAATCCCTACTACACTTGTGATGGACCTTGAAACTGCCGAGGCGATGCAGGCCCTGTATGAGCGTGCAGCTGCTGCAGCGACAGCTGGCGCAGCAGAGGAGGCAACGTTTGAGGCCCCTTCTCCTGCTGCAGAACTAGCTGCTGCAGCACACCGGATTATCCGTTGCTGTTGCGTCTGCACGGACGAAAGTGACCTTATCTCGCGGATTGAACAGGTGCCCGTTGAGCTCCGCGGTAGCGGCGAAAGCGGCTCTGTCAGTGAGGGCCCCTTCACGTCACAGGCCAGACCAGCAGCGCGTATTGCCGCAGTTGTGAAGTGGTGCGTTGGGCGGAAAGAAGAGGGGAAGACGGCGAGAGTAGAAAGAAGAGGGGAAGACGGCGAGAGTAGAAAGAAGAGGGGAAGACGGCGAGAGTAGAAAGACGAGGGGAAGACGGCGAGAGTAGAAAGAAGAGGGGAAGACGGCGAGAGTAGAAAGACGAGGGGAAGACGGCGAGAACACGCGCGCTGCACCAGTGGCACCCAGCAGCGAAACCTTGTTGCCTTGTGTCTGTTTGCTGCTGCAGGTTGCAGCGGTTGCTGCCAGCTACTGCGGAGGTGCAGCACGCGTTTTCTGTCGCCGAAGTGGGCGTCGTAGCCTTCCAGAAGGAGAAGGGTCTCGCTACAGAGGCAGCCGAGCAAGCCTCCTACCTCGCGAAAGAGGCAGCTGCAGCAGCAGAGGCGGAAGAGGGGGTGTTTGTAGGGCACCAGATGCCGGGGACAAAGGCGGAGGTGGGCGACGGCGGCGTGCTGCTGTTCAGCAGCAATTGCAGCAGCAGCGGCTACTTTGGACGCCGTGTGGCTACAGCCGAGGCTTTCGGATCTCCGAAAGGCCAATTTAATTCGTTTTTCCGCTCTGCCATTTTGGGCGAAGTAGGCCCCTCGGGGGAGATCCGAGTTCAGGGGAGCGCATTCAGCGCAGAGCCGCATGTGCAGCGGCCGCTGCAACAACGGCTGCAGCAGTGGCAGTGGGGTCTTCCTCGAATGGAGCGCCTTATCGAGGGGTACGTACACAAGGTCCCCATAACCGGGAGAGAATGGGGAAATTACCACGCAAAGAAGAGACACTGGAGGCGCATCTTCTAGGCGGCCCCGTAGGAAAAAAACCGCCCCTGTCTTCTGCTACCACTGCGCGCTGCCTATCCCTCTCCCCTGACATATGCGACGTTGCAAACACTCTGTTTTATGGACTCATTTCCACTCGCGCGCAAGCGGCTACTTGGAGTGTGCCATATATCGCGCCCGGACAGCTAGTTGTGCGCCGCGATAAACTAGCTGCAAAAACTAGCGACCACTTTTCGATAACACTAGTTTGATCACCTTGGACCCTTTTCGAGCGTTGACTTCCGTATCATGGGGTGCCGTTGCGATCGAAAGTAAGGGGCTGCAGCACCCACCCCCTGCAATCAGCTCGCACCAGCGAGGCTCCGGCGTCAGCGATGGCTCTCTGATTAGGGAGTAGTCTTCAAGCAAGAGATCAGGTTGTACCGGTGGTGAACTGCTAGGCCATGATATCTACGATCTAGTTCTCGCAATGTGGGTGATTTCGTGCCTGCCTTTTTTCCTAGCGCTGGAGCCAACTGGTTACTCAGCCGAGGTAGCAATAGTGATCAATTCGCTCATCGAGACCGAAGTCTGCTGTATAATGATGGAACCCAGTCTTGCAGACAAAGGTTTCAGTGTACAGCGCCAGGGGCGACTGCACAAGGCCTGCGTGCCACAGCTCCACCAGAGGCTCTTCGAGGCTGCCTTGATAGGGCCCTTAGTGCAGTACCCCTTCTTGTTTGTGCTGTAAACGAAGGGTTTCGGTGCTGACAGGCTCGAATCCAAGTTTAGTGTAAATATGTTTGGCATCTGCCTTCTCCACAGTGAGATCTACTCTGCCTAATTGCAGCTGTTCCTTAGCTAGACGCAGGACGGCCTGGCACATGGCAGTGGCTATGCCCTTTCCCCTGAACTCTGGCGACACCACCACACGCTCCAGACGCCCGTCTGCCGCACGCCCTAAATGCGGAAGTATGTACAGCTCGCAAAATCCGCAGAGCTCCCCTTCTTTTCCCTGTCCTTCGCATGCAGCCGTAGGTGCGGCAACTGTGTAGCAGCAAAAGGGGATGTAGGTCGGCTGCTTCAGCAGCTGCTCCAAGTCTTCCTCTCCCAGCTCCAGCTGGCAACGACTTACCAGAGGCAACAACATACGAACTGCGGGATAGTCTGCTGCAGTCATCCTTCTCAAGACGTACTGCCCCTCCTTCCCAGTGAGGGAGACGGCCTGCGGCTCAAGGGAGGCCCTCTGCAACCAGTGGCAAGGAATCGTCCCTGATGCACCCGGTGTCATTGCTGCTACTGACAAAGACGGCTTTGCAAGTTCCTTGTTCTTGCTGCTGCTTGCTAAGCTGTTATTGATACTCTGTCTGGTGGCTTTGCTGACGCTGCGAACACCACAGGCTGTTGTCTAGACCACCATTTCCGGACGGTCATGCAGCTTTGGAAGCCTGGATGCGCATGCGGCGATGCTACAGGGGTTGAAGAGGACAGGTGAGGCCGGAGGCATGCACGACTGGGGTCGACCACTGGCCCGGAACAAAGAGAGGCAAGCACAGCACACACAGTCGTATTGAGAGCTTGTACACTTGAAGCATGAGTAAAAAGAATCATGAGATTAAAAGGACAGAAATAGATCTATGCGGAGATTGAGTCCTCTGTCGACTGCATGCAGCCAGGATTGCTGTATCGCAACTGCGAGCAAGCTTCCACCTTCTAACTTGTATTCGCAATTCATGATATCTTACCTTTGAATTTCTGCTCCATTTGACGATTAATAATGCATCTTCCTTTGTAACATTGGGAAATTGTGAAAAGGTTAATCGGGCTTTCTGCTTATGTGGTGTGTATAACTCCATATCTGACTTCTGCTCAACAGCTGCAGTGACACCACTGGCTCTCAGCAGATTTGGCTCATTATCTGAATGATACAAAGCCATTACTGCAAAAGGGCGACAGAGAGCAGCATCACAGGGGGAGGAAGTCAACGGGCAAACAATACCCAGAGCAGGAATGGCTTTGTCCCACTTTTTGTCTCTAAAATCACCCGAATCACTTCCGCATGTAAAGATGAGCTCGTTTGAATCCACTATTCAAGCGAGCATATTTGGAAGCAGTGGATGCAACAGATGACCGGCGACGCGTTTCACCAGATTGAACTTGCAGAACAAGTGTGCAACAGGCCAGGAATCGATGCGATTCACCTTTTCATGAATCTCGGTAACCTTAGAGTGCTCAGCTTGGTTCGACGTATGGCTAAAGTAGGACAGACGCGTGAATAGGAAGTGCTTTCAGCAGGTTGCTGGATGCTGCATTGCTATTTTCTCTTCCTAGTGCAGCGAATGATGGAAGCAAAAACTGAAGGCCTCACAAGGCAAGGTCAGGGCTAACTTCAGGCCATACAAAATCTTTTCTTCAGAAGCCCTCTTTGAAACTAAAAGCCGTAGTCTACCAAATTACATGGGGTACGTTTGAAAGAATTAGCCTAGTTGATGTGTTGTTCGAATATGAGAGTTGCTGCAGAGTATGGGCTGCCCGAACCATCAAGATGAACGCTGGAAAGCCTCTACGAAGTGCTACGCTCGCATGTGGCCACGCATAGCAACTAAATGCAGTGGCACACACAGGGAGACAATTAGTCCAACATCCAGCATAAATATTAAAGCACAGTTACTAGATATTCCCTCAAATAAGCTCCCAACTCTCCCCACCCTCGCCTCTTAGGGTTTTCACAATGAAGGAGAGGTAGGGTGCAGCAATGCGGGCCCTCTGAGCACTCCTTTGCATTCATTCTCAGTTAAACATAGCGACCTAAAGCGCATAACGCTGATCTCTTTTGCGTTGGGTCAATTCTACTCCGCAACGAATATTGTATGCGAACGTCCTAGCCAGAAAGTCAAATTGTTTTTATGTCTTAACTAAAAATAACTATGGTAGCGAAGTGCACCTAAGTGTAGTTTGGTTAACCATGACGGGAGCTCGGCGTGTTCGGCGGGTGCGGCAAAGCGCACGCTAGTTGTCCTTTACCCTGATGCCAGGACCACGTGGGTTGGGAAAAAAGAGGATGATCCTGTGGATGATCCTGTAGCGAAAACCCTTAACTTGGTTTTTAGGAAAAAGCAATTAAGATTTTGGGAGCAAAGGGACAAAAGAGGGAGCAGCTTCTTTAAAGGGGATCGATGCTAGCGTCCAAAATACGTTGGTTAGGGTTTTGGGGATATAGGATCTTTTTCCGGAGGTTTTCACAGGGGGGTACATATTTGAATAGAGTCAGGGATAGTACCCTTATTCGACGTGCATGAAGCATGCTATTGGACGGCTGTACCGTACAGCAAAGCAGATCATCTTCAGTGCTCTAGGGAAACTCCTGTGTCGACGCGATATTTTCAGGTATAATTATATGTATGGCGCAACCTACGGGTCTTCACATTTGTACTGCACAAAAAGCATCACTTTCTCGCACTGTTGTCATGCATGTATTTTGATGAGGAGCGTAGGGAGAAGGCCTTCGCTACAGTGCACTGCCAAGCGGAGTTGTTCGGTTGGGTACTCGAAAAGCAGTAAACCAGCCCCAATACAAATAAGAAAAGTGCTTAATGAAACACATTTAGGCCCACAGCACGAACGTCAGAATCGGGGTTCCTTATTTTCGCTGCTTTCGTTGGAAGGCCGCATCTGCGCTTCGCCAGTTGATGAAGGGAAATTGCGAGCGATAAGCTTTTTGTTGGGGCTCCTACAAATGTACAACTGTATGGACAGGGCCATTTGGAGAAAATCCGCCAACAGGTTCCCCATGATATTATCTTCACCTATTTTCACACCTAAAACAAAGGGTCTACCACCAGTCAGTCAAATAGAGAAGAGAGTAACGGGAAAATTAAGTAGGAGAGGTTATGGGGAGGGCTCCTATGTGGCTTTCATGAAATGCTCCAATCTCTTCAGCTTCTAGAAGCCAATAACATCCGATCCACTGGTTTCTGTCACATAGCCTTCATGCCCTTTTAGTATCAAAGGCGGCTTCCCAGCACGTGGTCAAGCCAACCGGCTTAGCACCGAACCCCTTCGGCAGTTGCGAGACTCAGGCTCCGGGTCTGCTTCAATATTTTCCCGGCTTGCTGTAATTCACTACCTCTCCTGCAGTAGATATGTTGGCAACGTTCATTGTATAGTCCGATTGTTTTCGGATACTTATAGTTTTAATGCCGAGGAGCGTCAAAATGGAATGCGCCCGGGTGACGCTTGTAAAAGCGGTCTTATTTAATGCGGGAGCGACATTTGTATAAGGCTGCACAAAATACTAGTGCAACAGAGGGCACATTTAGTGGTACTGGACTGGCCTGGAAACTTCCCTCAGTCCTTCCTTTGACTGTGGCTGTCGTGCTGTCGTGGGTAGCCGCACCGTTGGGCTGAATGACTTGAGGGAGAGAGCTATCATATGCGCCAGCTGGTCCTTGAGAGAGTGCGCGAGGCGTTATACTACGTCATCAAGAACACTTGGGTTTGCAGGGCAACAAGTGAGGGGGAATGCTTGACTTCATTCCAATATACTACAAAAGGGACGAGAGGGACACCAGGTACTGGTAGTGCCTCTGACAGGTGCTTGTGTAAGGAAACAACTATTGTCAGAAACGTATTGTGATTTGGTTTTGAGCGGTTACTGCAGACAGTTGTTGCCCCTTTTAATGGTCTGGCTCGCAGTTACGCAGTGACCTGCTGTTGCCCTGAAACTGCTCCCCCCTCCACTTCTTTCTTGAGACTACGAAGGGCTAACTAGAGGATCATAAAGTAAGATAAGCCGACTATTATCGTAGAATTTGGCTTCAAGGTTCCTTGAGAGCGGTTAAAAGTCAATCTGCGGAGCGGGTAGGTGGTGACCCTCTCTGTTGCGGTATGATAACCCTGGCAGGCCAGCGGTCTGTCCGTTGGCCCCCTCAGGCGGGAAAAGTTCGGGAATCCAAACCTAAAGTCCATTAAAATAGTAGCTAATTTTCATCTTTGTTTTTTAATAGATTTTTCATTTCGCTTATTCTGATGTCGCAATGGAGGGCTCTCGCGCCTTGCTTGAGAGCCTTTGGGCTGCAGTGGTAGACCACGCGTTTGACAGGGACTATTCAGTTTTGAATGGCAAAGAAAGAGCCTTCATACTAAATTTTTCCCTCAACTTTTGTCCTCCGGAGAAAAGGGGAGGCCTCTGCTTTCACCCGGTTGACGCGCAGACAAGGCACTTAGTCAAGCACATTTCCTATGAAGCGTTCTTGCAGTTAGAAGGAAGAAAACTTCTTCAGAACCCCTACAGAAAGGAAATTCTAAAGACTCCTCTGCTTCTCCCTGGTGATCCATTGACTTAGAGGAGTCAATATAGCCCTTAGTTCCTCCTGCAAGATTGCCAGCCCCCATGTTCGTGGGCTCTGAACAGTACCTTCTTCAATACGAGCTTGTGCGGCATCGCATGAGCCTTTGTCAAGCACACATTTGCGGGTTTATTTCAAGGTGTCATCTGGTCTCACTTATCAGGCCCTGGACACCCGAACTCGTACCCGGATGTGGAAGGCTATGCGCTCGTGGACACTTTCCCCAAGCTTTCTGCTATGGTACAGGAAGTAATAGACAGTATGTATGGCCCTCTATCTTCTCCTCAAGTTCCGCTTCTCAATAAGCTTCTGCTCGCATTCGACCGAAAGATGGATCCCTTACAATGCTTACAGCCAGTGCCGTACACCCTAACCTCGGGCTCCCGCAGCTGTATAAGCTTTATGCTGCCCTGTGCAGCCGCGTTTCTTTCCTGTAGGCAGCCTCTTCAAAAACGCGTTTGAAGGCTCAATCAATTTCAGATGATGCATTCGGTTTGTTGTTAGGTCAATACTCCGCGGTGGCGATGGATGTGGAGCACCACAACGTTTACTCTTTCAGGGGTTTCACGTGCCTTGTTCAGCTCAGCACTCCTTGCCACAATTACGTCATAGACCCCCTAAATATGTTTTCACAAATGCACATTCTAAATCGAATCACTGTAAATGCTAACATCATCAAGGTCATTCACAACGCGGAAATGGACGTCATCTGGCTCCAGGTGATAAATGCAGCATTTCTACCAAACCGTCTAGTTGCCTGTGCTCAACACTAGCAAGCTTCTGCTAGTGGTGTCCATATTTAACTGGCAGCACAAGGAAAACGCAGCAATCACTTTTTCTTCCATTCCTGCAGTAAACGCATTTATGGCTGCTGTGGGGTGTAACACCCGAGTTCTTGGCAAGAACGCATTGTTCTCCAGTGTTTAGACTTGAGCACCACAATATTGCCGCCACTTCGTTTGCACACGAGATTCAAAATGATACATTCTTGCATTCTTTCATCTAATTCTTTCTCCGTTCTCCTTCTCCGTTCTCCTTCTCCGCGTGGTTTCCTTTGCTTACTGGAATTTAAATGGTTCTCCCCCTCGTGACACCTTAAAAGCTTGTGTGTGTACTCTGCCGTGCAGAGGGACTTTGGAGTGCATATTGTGAATGCATTTGACACTGGCAAAGCTGCAAAGGCTTTGAGACTTCCTGGAGGCCACTCCCTGAGAAATGTTCTACACAAAATTTACGGGGTTTCCAAAAATGTTGAATTAAGCTCCACTGACTGGAGTAAACGGTATGCTGCTATTAGCTTTATGCACAGGCACAGGTTCCCTCCTTGTTTCCTCTAGCCCTCTTATCTGCCTGCCCCTTCCACCTCTCGGCCTCACGCTCAGCTTCGTGTAACAGCCTGTCTTTTTATTCGGAAGCATTGACCAAACATCAGTGATACCCTCCTCTCACTGTTGGCTCTGTGCAGCACTAGTGTCATTGAGATGATGCAGCTCCAGACACAATATTTATGGGGGCACATAAGCGTGTCTCCAGCTATTGATAATGCGGTTTTTCATTCAGGCCTCTAACAGATGAGATGTTGCACTATGCAGTTACCGATGTCAGGTATTTACTCCGTCTTTACCATTATTTTGGCCAGCAGCTTAAAAGGTGAGAAACTTTTGGAAGGGCTGGTGTTCTTCAGCGTAAACAACAGTAATCCATTTGCCTAGTTGTTGCTATGGACCTGTCGGTCTCCAGAAAAGCAGCTAGCGTCTCATATTAGGGTACACACGTATATATACTCGCACGCAAACAGGAAGAAAGGCTATTAACGTTGCTGAATACGCCCTAAAATGATAGACACTTGCCCAGGTTCTCTAGCATGAGGATGAAGCCACTAGTTGTGCATCCGCATGCACGTTAAAAGCGTGCTTGCTGTATTTAATTACTTGGCATGCTTTTCGTTATCGACTGTCCTTTTGTTCACCTGGACGCACAGGCACTCGATGACATCGGTACGTTCATGCTGCTCTCCACGCTGCTTCCACACTTGCACACATTCTGTTTGCTTCAGTTCCCCCACCAAATTCTTTAAATGCTCCTTACTCAGTTCCTTTGTCTCATCACTGTGGCGTTGATGGCTCAAATCCGTATATGCCCGTTTTTCGCCCTGGTATCTCTGGTTTCAGGCGGGGGGTAGTGCCACAGATGAGTACATTCAAGCCACGCGAAGAATTTTTCTGCAGCAGTACAACGTACCTTCCTACAGTCTCGAAAAACACGCACAGGTTATTGTCAGACAGTTCCCGCCTGCCTGTCGGGGACCCGGCATTGAGCTCCTCGTAAGCTTCCCAGTAGTTATGGCTCAGTGCTCATACATGTATTCTGTGCATCGAACGTGTCTGTATCTAAAAGTATGTCGATCTAGGCTTACAATAGAGCGGAATATTCAGGTTTGCTTTTATTTGTCAGGCACTTTTCTGTCATCTTGCCTCAGTTGCAAAACGCACGATGCTCACTCAGACACACAACAAAGGTTCCTTTGGCTTCTGAGGCTCTCAGTTTGCTCCCTGATCTACAAGCGTGGGACTGCGTTGATGACTGCCGAATTGTGACTGTGCACACTTCACCTCTACAGGATAGATCCTCCTTTATAATCTTTGTGCGCTTGCGATGGGAACTCAGCGGGTCTTGCTCGCCTGGAGGGATATTCGTTCTCGCTTCATGGACGTCTCACGGCACGCTCTGCTGCCTGAATCGCGCATCCCTTATGCCATTATGATGGTAGAACAAAAAACACGCCTGTATTCCTTTCAAGTGCCTACACATAGCTTAACACAGATTAGACTGAGGAATGCTGAGATTGAAAGGTGCCCTGGCTGTTGCTATTTCTGCTTTCGCCGCAGGCAATAGGACCAAAGCAAGCAGTGAACATCCGTCTCCACGACAACCACACTATCAATTCTATTTTGAACCAGGAGCTTAAATATTGCCTCCATGTACATCGCACATTTAAAGGCGAGGGCTTCGCGATACGCCCCCTCCGGCTTATTCTCCAACAGTGTCTTTCATCCTCAGAGAGCGTTCAAGACGAAGAAACTTGATCCAAATGGCTCTAGGAAGACTTGCTAGCTGCTTGACGAAGAGAAGAATTACCAGCCTCGGATATTGTTGTAATTTAGCGCGAGCGTATGTTTGCATTGTTTGGCTAGGTGAAATCACCTTTTTTTGTAGACGCAGAAAACCAGTGCATTTTGGCTCATCACCTCTTCATTAGTCCTGTAGCTGTTTTGGTAGGCATCGGCATCTGGTGCAAAGGACGAAGCGAAGCAGCTTAAGGGCATTAACGTCGTTCCACCTTTTTCGCAGTTAGTTCGTGCATCAATCGGCTTAGTGTCATAAGGCCCTGCTTTTTATTGCCGCCATTCTCCTTCATTTTTTTTCCTGCCATCAGCTGCTGACGAAATACCTTCCCGCTGAGTCAGGCCTTTTTTCGTAAACATAAGTTTCGAGAGGAATCGCATAGCAAGGAAAATTACATATTGCTCAAAAGGAACGTAGTGTTTCAGTGACCCCTGAATAGGGCCAGTTACTTATAGCTACATACATGCATGCAGAGTTCGGATAAATTTTAAAAAGCATGCAAATATAACCAGATGTATCCATACTCACCAATGATCTCTCTTATGAAGAGCTCTGTACAGCCAACCTGACAAGTCTTCTGGCTTGGACAGGCCTGGAATACTCTTAAAATCGAATCCAGAGGTAAAGAAAAGTGTTGGGGAGTGACCCTGTGTTGCGAAATTTCGAGGCTAGTTATCCTATTCGAATAGGGAGTGTGAATTGCTTTATCAGTTTTTCTTAACTATGAGGACATTTCGCTACAGGTGAGGTGTCCAAATACGCATAGTAATCTGCAGCTTAAGGCATGGTGGCATCTGCTCAGCCTGAGGCGAATTGTCTGATGATGCTGAGGTCGGGTTCCAATTCTCCGCCAATGGTAAGCTGTGAATCGTACTTATCCTTCAAACGTTCCCACAGCGAATAGGATTATTTGCACAAATCCTGTAAGTACATATGAGCGCCCTCTGTTACGCTACATCTAACGGCTCCGACAAGAGGCACTTACCTGTTGACTCACTTCACGCTTCATAGTTTAGGATATTGAGTGTTTCCCTGAAAATTATTTTGCTCTTTTGCTCCCCTTGCCCCTCAGAGCTCTGACATCAAGGCAATGGCAAACAATGTGGGCGTTCCTGCATCTTTGGATCACTCCTACCATGCACATTTTGTTGTACACAGGGTTCTGCACACTCGCACACATTGATTCATTCTGCGTTGAGCTGATTACTCTGCAGTAGATCAGATGTGCTGGTAGCCAAACCAAATAGCCATTTGTACACTAGTTCTCAATTAGACGTATCCATTGTAGTAGAAAGAGTTTGGTTATAGTGTAACCAGCTACATCGTCTCCGTCCTTCCATCCCAAATATGCGCCCGAGCAAATAACATCTGTCGGTCGAGAGAAGCTATGCAAGGGGCAGCGACAGTGTTGTCACTCAAGCGCCCTTCCCTAGGCGGGAGGAAATGCGAAAACAGTGCGAATGAGCAGAACAGCGTGAAGATCAGCCCGCAAAACGAAATAGGGAAGAAAGCACTCTGGTCAATGAGGAAACAAACCGAAACGACTGGGGAGGTGAGATGGCTCGCTTTTCTTGGAGATTGAACTGTGTGAACCTCCTGCTATAGAAAAAAGAAAGCAGGTGTAAAGTATCAATGATATCACGATACAAGCTAGTTTAGCAGCGCCTTTACGCGTCAAGTCAAATTCTGTATCCCAGTGCGGCCGCGGTATGCAACATACTCAATTTGCAAGCCGAAAAACGGCGTAAGAGAGAATGTAAGCACAGGAAACCTGAGGGTGTCTGTATATAAATCTGAACAAAGCGAATGCCTTTGTAATACCCAGCAATTTTTTTGCAAGCAACATCCTAGGATGAAGGCAAATCTTTCGGCGCGAGAACATGCTGTTAGGAATGGACTTTCCAAGGGACGAGAGGAAGAGCATCAATTGCGACTAGCGTTGTGAATCAGGAAACGCCACAAATTTTCCCGCGTAGAATGGAGCCTCTAATCGTTCGTCTATCAACCAGTGAGTTTGAAATTTCCCAGCCTAGTTCATTAGAAACTTCCATCTACTGTGTTCTCGGTGCTCAGGTGTCCTAGAATCCAGCAACTACATGGCTTCAGGTAAATCCTTCAATTCCACACAGGTTGCCCAATGTGTAAAACCTACTCCGAATGGAAGAGTAGGATGGGATATCTGCGTAGTGTGTCGACAAAGCGATAGAGATGCTATCATGACCCCGCCTTCGTGCAGCCCAACTAAAGCCAATGAGAAGATCATTCCAAAGCTTTTCAAGAACTATAAGGCTTTGAAATGCCGGGTCTAAGATAATTCCTTGACTGCAGCCGCTGAAAACCTGCGCATACTAGTGCATACTCCTCTACCGCTGGACGCATCCCAGGCCATCAAAGCGATCATGAGAGCTATGCCGGTGTAGTCTTAATCCCATCATTGCCCAAAAGAACATGGGTATGTCCTATGCACAAATCAACACTGCAGGGCAGAGTCACAGTGCACAAGCGACGGATTGTTTCGAATTTGGACGACAGCAAGTCATTTTCAGCATGATGGTGCTTCACCATTTGCTCTTCTGGATTTGGCAAGATTAGCAGATGCAAGTTAAGTCGTGAATCACCACAGGGAAGAGTTATTGCACTGCAGAAAGGTGACTTGCTAACGGGGATCGCCTGAGCGCGTCAGCGACCACGTTAGCCATGACCTTTGTATGCTCCACACTGTGAAGTCGCATAGCAAGACGAGCTCAAGCCAGCCAACCATTCTAGGCTAACCGAAGTACTTTCAGGTCTCCGAGTGTCTTTTTAAATAACCATTCGTTTGTGCGATAGAATGAGGCCCGTATAATTGTAGCCTTTTTTTACACCCTACTACATCTCAGAGTTCCTTTTCCCTCATAATACTTTGATGTCTCCGAGTGTCTCTTAAAATAACCATTCGTTTGTGCGATAGAATGAGGCCCGTATGACTGTAGCCTTTTTTTACACCCTACTACATCTCAGAGTTCCTTTTCCCTCATTCTACTTATTCCTTCGGCTTTTGTGAAGCGATGAAAATAGCAAGCAATAGATTGGTGTTTTGGAGGTACCGTAGCCTCTTGAGAAGACAATATAATCTAGTGCTGGATTGTTAGCTTTGGCTGACAAGAAGACTTGATTTTCATGGTCTTTCAGTGCAAGTGCCAGAGAAGTTGTAAAGCGGCCGGTAGGCCTCCTTGGTGCGGCATCAGCTTCTGTCTACTAAATAGACTGGGATTTCCTCAGTGTATCAATCGAGGGGGCAACCCCCTTAGCAAATACTGGAATGAAAATTCGCCAATGAGGTGCAAGCCTACTGAAGTTTGAAGTATCCTTGTAGGTGTATAAAAGTAAAGCCTACAACTTTTATCGCTGTACTCTCAAACCGGATGCACGTTAGTCCCCGCAGCCGAAACACGGAATCCGG